CTTGGTTGGGCAAAACAACATTTTCAGAATGTCCTTGCTTCGACTTCTTACCAGGCACCTATGTAGGAGACCCTTGTGATTCAGGATGGATTCGCTAAGCCCAAGTCACACATTGCTTAAGCTGGTGTTGCTGAGGACCCAGTCTTTTCCGCGAGCCTGCGGCAGCCCAGGTTTCAGGCTGGCTCTTGGCAGCTGCGAAGTCGAAGCCATGAGCCTGCGAGATGACATGCCGATCTGCAAGTGCGCCGATGCAGCACTAAGCAGCCGACACCTCTATCTAAGCCAGGACCGATGCAAATGCAGCAGCTTAGTCTCATGTGGGTGGAGCTCTAGCTGCCAGATGCATCCTCAAAGGATGTCCTCGCACGAAGAAGCATTTCACCGACACCAACATATATAGCTGTTACCGGGGCACGATGACGACATAACACACGTCCATGCCACTGGTGCGTCCTGGGCATGGAACCTTCAATCCCAGACTTCAATTCATTACGCTGCTGGCCTCATGTCTTGTCATTTGCCCAGGCTCGGCTTGTCCTTGAAGGAGTAGCCTAGCCGAGGTCTGCCAATGCATGGCCCAATCAGATCGCATTGCTTTATATGTCCGCGCAGATCATCAAGTAATAGGCTATAAAAGTGCTACAAAACAGAATAACCATCAAACGCAGAACGCTGGAGCAACACATCAAGCGAAAACGTCATTTACTCATGACATCTCACGACCTGCGGCACCAAGGTCACATGTCAGTATCCCAAACAAGGCTCCGCATGGCTCCGCAGCTTCAGTGAATAACCACAACCCACGTCACTGCCGCAACTGACCGAACGCAGCCCTGTTCAATTCGCTCCCGTGCCTGGTCCCGTCCGCTGTACAGCAATGCTGGCACCTCGGAGTTCTATCATTGCAGCTTGGAGAGAGGGATACACCTACGGGCACGGTCTGAAGCATCGCTCAAAAGCATACGGCGGTCAGGACTCTGGGAGCAAAGTCAAGTGCAAACAAGCTCTGCGTGTTTGATGTCGGCACAGCTTTCTCAGCGCGAGTCTGTTGCGTGCACTTGCGACAGTCTTTCGTGATCATCGTGCTGTAACAGGCTGATCTCAGTTGCAAGCAATAAAGTGCCAGCTGGACGCAGCTATCCACATCCGCCTGCCAACGGATGTGCCGTCTGTCCCAGAGCCAACATGAACACGCAAGCCAAACAAATAGGGCCTTTATCCACCTGAGTCTCTGGACCGACTCCATGCCCCACCTTTGGAAACAGTACCATATCCAGGGACTCCGACAAGGAAGAGATTGAATCGCCGGTGCTCAGCTGGTTTGATGATTTACACTGTACGCTCGTGTCGTTGGTCGAAGGAGTGCATGTCTGGGTCTGGAGGATGCTGCCAGCCGCCCCAACTTCTGCAACCTGGACCTGCTGAGGAAAACCAGCACGTCCCTATGTCCGTGAAACGTTGAAAGAAGGAACCTTAACCCCAACGGACTTGCAACTCTACATCGAACACGGTGGAGCCAGAGCCTCCTTTAAAGCTGAAGTCACCTCATCGCGACGCATTTGCCATGATTACCCTGGTTCGCTGTAAGCTGGCCTCATGCATCAGCCCGTACAAGAACCCACCTGCGCTTGGCATCAGGCTTTTGTGACCCCAGTCTCCGAGGGCGCTTCGGAACTGTAGCAGCAGCTAAAGTATCGAATGCACGCGATGACTTGCTTTCGTGCTTTGACTGATGTGCGCAGCGTAAATCATGCGTAGAAGGCTGCGCAGCGGCACGGTTGAACCCTTGGGTGCAAAGACGAGGGGAACAACATTTGTCCTGCGGCCATTCAGTTCGGGTGGTGGGCATGTCTTGGCGGGACTTGGAGACCGCTGACCATGGGAAGCATAAGTCCACAAAATTGGACAAACGGCCCGGAAATCCTGATTTGCCTCAAACTGAAACAACTGTTGGTGAAGCCTGCAAAAGCATCTCCGGCCCCATCTTTCCGCACGAAAGTGCGGTTGCGGACCTTGCGATCATGGTGCGAAGCTGAGCAGAAGTGGGCGGCTCTTGATACGAACTTCATCTCTTGCTTAGCCAGCCTACTAGATGCGCTGGAAGGGAAATGCATCGGAGAATACAGTGCTGTGCAAGACTGTATACAGTACAAATTCATACCACATACTGCATTTACTTAAACTATAGTACGCCATCATCGTATCATGTGAAAGATTATTAAAGGCTCCAGCAGATAGTTGGAAGTGCTCACTTGGGTGACAAAGCACACGCTTTCCGTTCTCGCCACAGCCACCCATTCGTTTTGACACTTCGAGTCCCCCGGAAACTGTTATGGAGTGCTCACGACGAGGCCACCACCACCAAACAAAGAAATCTACCCACCGAGGAATGCGGTAACATTATTCAAGCAGTAGAACCTCAAGCAGGGAGTGACTCAATGCGAATTTACACATCGAGACGACTGTGCGTAATGCAAATGATTTTCAATGTGCTTCTGACAGAAATTCTACAAAGCAAAACTGCACAAAGAAACCCGCAGATGATTACACCAATCAATCTAAGAGTCTAAGACACTAAAAGGACTGCAAACGTACGATGAGCTTTCATGCTTATACATATTCGAAAGTTGTTACTACTACATTTCTGGTAGCAATAGCAAAGGCAACAGCAAAAGGAATAGTATTCGAAACGGGAATAGTACGAGGGAAAGTGATGACAGTAGTAGTAGTAGTAGTAGTAGTAGTAGTAGTAGCAGTAGTAGTAGTAGCAGCCATAGTAGCAGCAGCGGTGCTCGCAATCACAGTTATGGTAATGCCAGATCGATACCAAGCATACTGAATGTACTAGTTGCTAGTCGCCACCACAACCAGACCACGACGACTATGACTGCGAAGCTGGACAACTACCACAGGAAGATCTGTAGTCATCACCGTACTCATGATGATAAGCTAGGTTTATGTTTACGGGCCCACGCCTAAGCATCCCCTACTACTAGCTGCCAACTGCTACCCACAAATCACCATTCCGATCGCGGTAGGTTCCTACGGTTCTCAGTCTGAAAGAACTTCTCGTACTGTAGTAGGTCTCGTACCCTAAATCCTACGCTCCACCTCCGACACCCCAAACAGTATAGCAAGCTAAGGTTACGACGGTGACTCTGGGCTCCCGGCGGGTGGCACCGGGAATCTTTGCACTTTCACCTGCTGCTCAAGGGCGTACTGGGCGAATACTTCCCATGGTCATGCGAACCCTCGCTTCCTGTGTCTGTGCATGCCCCATGTTGATGGGATCTGGCCGCGCTGGGCAACCGATAGAATTGGGGGACCGACGGCTCATCGATTCGAGACCGCTGCTCGGGTGCCCGAGGGTAGCTATATATCAGAGAGACGTTTTACCGTTATACTTACCTTGCGACTAAGTCGGTCTTCGGTTCTAGGATGGCTCCTGGATGACTGTCTAAGAACTTCATGGTCTACCGTACGTGGTTGCGTCTGGATACAAACTAGCACGTCCGTGCTTCTGAGGTCGCATAGCGTGGCAGTGCCTATGAACTTTGGCTGGTTGCTTCCTTCTTTCCTCTACTCCCTCCCTCCCTCCCTGCCTTCCTTCCTTCCTTCCTTCCTTCCTTCCTAAGACTTCCTAATTACGACACCTTCGAAAAACGTAGGAGATTTCGAGGCCAACATAAACTACAAGACCACCCAAAACAGGGCCCCGCCCAAGGAACGCTAACATCAACAACCCCCTTTTCAACCTCACACGTGCCGGGTGCCCCGACGCCATAGCCACGCCATGTTGAAGCGACAAGCGCAGGACGCGAGCCACACGTGACGACCTCGCTGGCAGCTTCTGAAAGTAAGCGGCGGTGTTTGTGAGTGCGTGAGAGATCGGGAATTGGGGCTGTTCGATTTCTGTCTTTCTGTGAGTAGTCTTGTGGGTTTCATGCGGCCATAGTCAGCCTGGCGCGGGCGGTACCGATACCGGACCAATCACTGACTTTCGCTGAAATCGAGCCTTGCGGCTTGTTCGCGAGATTCCCAAAGAAAGCTTGCCCCCCTTACACACAAGATTCGCCAAATGCGGACCGAGATGCAATGTGCCGTCGACGCTGGACTTCGCCATCGGAGCGTGGCATCCGGGCGAGCCAAGTCGCCACCTCATCTAACCCTGAGGGGCTGGGAGCCGTTTTGCTTTACTTGGCCCGTGTGCGAGGAGGTTGCGGCCTTGCGGTGCAGGCCTGCTAGGCGGTTGAGGGATTGAGGGCGCAGTGTTGGCAGGACCTTCCGGAGTTTGGCAGGGAGATGGGAACTGCAAATCTTTCTGCTGGAAACCGTCGTGCACTGCTCGTCATATCGACTGCAGGGGCAAAAATATGCTCGATGCCAATCAGTGATACTTTGAGCTCCGTGCAGAGTCCACATCCTGCAGGCAGGCGATGCACAGGTTTGCTTCAGAAGGAGAGGCCCTAACACTTGTCATAACTACATGCATACCGATAACAGCAAGATTCACTCATGGCATCCATTTGCTTCAGCCGGCTGAGATTAGTTGGTACATACATGACATGTTCGTCAAGTCGCATCCCTACCACAAGACCGTAACCCCGCTGGCCTTGTAATTTGCCTTCTTACTAACTTCTTACGAGATAGAAAAGGGCACTAAGCCCTGAAGGGGACTTTGCAAAGGCGCCTGGGCAAGGCCCTCGGTCTTTTTCAGCTCCGCAAGGGCCATGTATTCCTTGGAATTGGCACTTGGGGTGCCGCAATTTTCCTGTGGTTTTGCCGGGTTGCGATTGTCAGGAGTTGCGGTAGGACCGTGACACCTATTACTACAGTACCGTCGCCAATCCCCACCCACTTTTGTCTACACCCCTCGCTTGACTCGAGGTGCACCGAGGAAGTGTTTCTTCCCCATAAGCTCGTTCACTGACAGAAAACCTGAGTCCACATTAAAACTTACAGGCAGCGCGACGTCATCCATGCTGAATGGCGACCCAACTCTAAGCCTGAATCAATATTGAACGCCGCAAGACCCAAACCCTGAAACTTGATGTTAAGGGCCTGCTGCTGCTGCTGCTGCGAGTGAGACACCGGAGCCTGGTGCATGAGACCCCCCCCTCCTCCTCCTCCTCCTCCTCCTCCTCCAAGTTTCCCATGCAAAAACAGGGATCAAAACAGTGGCAGGATGCGGTCTCGGAGCCGAAGACGAAGTCCGTGTAAGGCATGACCTGAATTCACTGACGGAGCGGGGCGACCCGATTCTGAAGGTAGTAAATCCACGTGTGTTCAGTCTCGCATCGCCTGGTGCTGTGTTTGTTTCCGTGACCAAGAGCTCAATTCACTCGATGAGGAGGCGAAACAATCCAAATGTCCCCATTAGCATGCCAGCAGCAGCATCAAAGTGAGTCCTTGCTCTTAGTCTTTGGTCCGCACCGTCAGTATCCGGTCGCCGAAATACCGGCACACGTATGGTGCCGAGAGGTTCAGGCAGAAGGTGTTACCCATCTTCGCGCAATGCCTGAGCGAAAGCTGAACCGTCAAATCATCATGCCATGGGTTTCGGCCACGTGACACTTTGAATCGGACCGCTTTTTGACTTGGCTAAGTTCGTGGGCGATGCAGTGGCGCTCAATGATGGAGAACATCGCGAACTGCTCTGTCAAACCCGTCACGACGCTCCAGAGTGGTGTTCTACTGTTCGTCTGCAGCGAGGGCAGCGGCAACATGCCCTGATCGTCGTGCTGCTGGGCTCAGACAATAACTACATTTCCATAATCATAGTCATGGCCCATGGCCGTGGTAGATTGCATTTGAAATAGTAGTGCTGGCCGTAGGAACAGTTGCGAATTCACAGCAGCAAATGACTTTTGCATTACATCTTGCCTCCCCGGCGCTCTTGGGGTTCTGGCGCATGTGAGCTGTGCCCGTGACCCTCACTAGGCCCGAAGTCTCTCCCGTCGGAGATTCAATCCCGAGCGACTACGACCCAATACATCAAAGCCTACAACGTGAAGCGGTGCACGAAACTGAGTGGGGAACTCCGCCAAAATCTTAACGCTCTCGAAGGAGACGGTCAGAAAGGTCGCCTCGCAGCAAAGGTCGCGATGGGACGATTAGGCGCAGCCCCACAAGGGGAGGCAAATGAACCTGCATCACAACAAAAGCAAAGGACACCACAAGCCTGAAATATGAGTATCAAGATTATGAAGATGACGGCCAAACTGCTCATGCAGCTGCAGGTGTCGATGATCGTGGGCGCTGGTAAATTTGGATGATGTGAAGAGCCGTCGTAGCCCTCCACTCAGCCGTGAAGAATACTGGCCATCGACCTCGCCTCGCCTCTTGCATACTGCCAATACCCTTGCTAGTGCTGCTGGCTTCGTAGGCCTTGGCCTCCGTTTCCAAGACCATAATTTCGCACGCTGCAAGGGCTCTAGGTAAGCATGGGCCAGAACACGAGCCCGATCGAAAACAAACACGCATCACCTACGGCCAGAATGTTTGTTGTAAGATGTTTTGTAAGGCCAAAAACAGCGACGCGGCAGAACAAAACGGAAACAGCAACAGCCGAACCGGAACAGTGAATTACCCCACGTTGGCAGCATGCGACCGAGAAGAAGTTGCCTTTGGCTGAGCAAGCGCCGTCACGAAGAAACACAGAACCGCAGGGGTACAAAACAGCGGTAAGAAAACACGGCCCAATAGAGGTTGACCATGACTCGTCGGGACATCACCAGGGTGACAATCACCACCACTGTAATTAGATGCTCGTCAGACACACCATGCTACCAAGCAAGCAAACAGTTGAGCGCCCAACATCCTCTCTAGCAATAACACAACACTGCGAAATGGCCCAAGCGCGGATGCTGTGAGGGATGTGTTGCGACGGTTGCGAATTCTTGATGATTGCACGGCAATCGTAACCGTTCATCCCCAAGTTAAACTCCAACGCAGCCCTGCAGTCTGAATCAATCCAGCCTCTGCGTAGACGACCCCCGCCGCTTCCACCTGCTCCCAGATTTTGAAGCGCAAGTGATCCAGCTTGTACCTTCGCATCTGTCTGGGGTCGGTCTTCGGGTGCACTCTGAGAGTGTAGAGCGTCAATTCTACACACGACTTTTTAGCGGTCCTTACGAAGCGAATGCCTGGTCTCTTCAAGCCAACGGACAACAAGCTCACCACGTTCCGAGCCATAGTTGTTACATTGTCAAAACAGCCTCTTCGCAGGTATGGTCAAAATCCGTGCCCTGCGAATGATAAGTTGGCAAGTGCTTCTCCCTCTCCGAATCCATGCGAGGCCTTCCGAACAAGACAGGCGAAAATCGAAAAACGCTCTTTGACTGGATGCCTCGAAACGTGCACCCAAACATGCGGCGTCCTTCCCACCCGACACGAAGCAATCATGGAGTTTCCCAAGCTGCCAACTGCTTGTAGAATCCTGCAGAATCCCTACCAGGCGACTCTCCTTCACACCGGAGGGCTCGGCATGGATTGCCGGGAATTGATCGGCCCGAAACTATGACTTCCATGCCCACATCCCCTCAGCTCTTTCGACCCCTTTGAGGTCTCGGCTGGTTGGCGGCTCCGGCCTTGCTTGTTCGGAAAAAGGGCAATCGGGGTGCAGGGTGTTAAATACGGTATGTCTCTTGGTCTCATGCTTCGCATACCTCTACACTACACCACTGGGCCTTGCAAAGCTGACCGCATAAGCTGAACGCATTCAGCGTTCCTCGAGGGCAGCTGAAAACTTAAGCGTCGGTCAAACACGATCAGGATTCCAACCCAGAAACATCTCGAAAGGAGCTTGCAGTTCTTGGGGTGTGGGGCACTTTACGTCCGCCAAATTTGGGGAAGGCTTAGGCATGCGACATACGTACATACATACATACATACATACATACTGTTACGTACAGACATGCATATGTGCATGCCCCCATACACTGACTCATGCGCCTGTCAATGTTCTTTGACGGGGTGTTTTGGGGCTTGTGCCGCAGCGATGACAATTTTACGCCCGCTTCAACGACCTAGGATCTACGGGCATTCTGGTGTTGTTGTGCAACTACCTGTCGGCTTGACCGTCTCTACCATGCTGACGGCTTACCATGTACCGCCCACAATTTCAGTGTATTTTGTTATTTTGAGTAGGCCGAGTTGCCGGATTTCTTTTTACGGTTGATATCATTCTGTAGTAGTCGTCATCGTCGTGGTCGTCGTGCAGTAGCTGTCGTAGCAACGTAGTAGTAGTAGTAGTAGTAGTAGTAGTAGTAGCAGTAGCAGTGGTGGTGAATATATGTATTTTGGTATTTTCTTCCCACGGCTCTGTTCATCATTGATGGCCAGTCTTGCTGCCGGCTTCCATTGCCAATACCATGTCGTTAGTACATCATAATGCAGTCCGTACATTGTCTGTGCCATTAACACTGCCATGATTGTTTTCTCCACGCAACCGTTGCCACTGGTATTCCTGTGGTTGCGACTGTACGGTCCATTGTGTAACATAGTGGAGTCTACAGCATCTATTGTCTTACGACTAGCAATATTTTGATCCATTTTCAGCCCAGCCCAACTTGTCGGGACGATGCCTGAATTGCGCGGTAGACCACAGCCAGTTTGCCAGAGCCATCGACCTTCTCCTCACGCGGCGGAAAGGAGTCGGGTGCTGCAGTTCGCTAGTTACCTGGCGCAGGTGAAGCATTGCTAAAAGCGAAAATGACAACAGTTGCTCTCGTCACTGCCAGTTATCGTGGGTATCACAAGAGTTCGCACGCTGCTGATGAGGATGGTGCCACGCCTACGAAGACCTGAAAGAATTTCGTGCGACAGGCCTTTGAGAATCTGAACTGCAGAACCTCAACCTCAAACTAAACCCTGAACCCAGCTGGCGCTCGCGTTCGAACGTGCCGAAACCGAGTTGAGGCCTCACTGGGTTGCGATGACAAGGCAGGCCTGCAGAAGTCAGGGAGAAGGCTAAACTTGGCTTAGGGCTTGGGATCTAAATAGTGTAACCTTACATATAATATGGCATAATCTGGTATACTATACCCTAGTTTAGAGAACTACCCATGTGCCGAGTGCGGACAGCAGTGTTTTGTCTTGGCTGTGTTTCTAAGCTGCAATGCCTTAAGGGGGTTTGGATATCTTGGGATTACCGTAAAGTATCGGGGTTTGTGGTCTGGGCCGGCAGAGGCTGACATGGCATATCAGCGTGAACGGCTGTATCAGGCCAACGATCAATTAGGCGAAGCGCTCACAAATCCCAATCGCTGGTCGGAAAGTTGGGATATTATCTTCTACAGGTTTACGAAGAAACCCCTTTGCTTCAACTGGCCTCAGCTTAGGAAGCTTACAAGGCGTTTCAACTCTTATTCGGCTTTCGCATTCGTTCCTGCCATATGTTGAAATATGCTTCATGTCCAACCTGCCTGTTTGCAAGATGAAGCCTCGCGATCCAAACACAAAAAAAACAAGAGTGTGATTGTGAACACACTTGTGCCCTCTTGTACCGGATACTCTCCGTCGATGCCCGAAACAAAGCTTGTCATACTGGCAATAGACGATAAGAGGCTTAATTAAGCATGAAGCTTTCGGTTTGCATTGGCTGAGCACCTAAAATCTGGCCATGATTGCCGATGGTTCGCCCACACCAAGATCTAAATCCCGAAATCTCAATAGAGCCGTCAACGGCCCTGACTGTGTTGCCTGTCTGCGGTCCTTTCTCGTCGACTCGCACACAAGAAAGCCTCGGCGATGAGGCTGAACATTGTCGATGAGTTTCACTCAGAGTTGGCGCAGCATTTCATGAAGCTCAACATAAAGAGTATGTCACTGTCTGGTCTCTTTCTATGCTCCTTCACAGCTAGCATCAGCTAGTTATCCGACTTGGCACATAACAGTAACATCCAGTCAGAGGACATAGACCGTTCAGGGATGACCAATGCTCCGGATCAGGCGGCACTTTGTGTGCTTGCATCAGGTCCCCCTTCACACAACACCCGGAGCATCAACTTCGGAAGCCGGGAGCCCCCAGCAGTCCAGCCAGTACTCTCCGAGACGATCTCCGAAAAGAGCGGCTGGATGCCAGTCTGCGACCACAAACCGAGTGACACCAAGAACCATTGCCTAGAACTTTTCCGCAATGCCGAGGCTGGTAAACGAGTCTGTGAGGCCCTGAGTGCATCTGTTGAGGGAGCTGGGGGGTCTGATAGCAAAGCTGAAAACCTTGCTGAACTCGCGGCATTCACGTTGCTCGAACAACCGCTCCAGCTGATATTGCTTTGGGCAGGGTGCGGCAGGGTCAGGAGGGCATAGTGGCATAGCAAGAAACAACACGAGCTGATCAGTTCCCTCTGTGCATGAACACTTAAACCTGGAAGCCAGCCTCTTTGAGGTAGTCTTGCAGCTTGTAACCTGAAAAACTTGGGATTGCGGCCCAAAAGAGAGAGACACCACCTGCAAGAGTGTACCCACAGGCACCACCACCACCTCCTTAGATCTCTGCATGAGCGAAACCAACCCAAGGCCCTGCTTGCCTAGCTGGTCGCGGCCGACGCCCCCAAGGATGGAAACGATAGGCGTCTGCCGCCGAATGGCCTGGTCATGCTACGGCTCAAGGCGCCAAAGACCACTTGCTTCCGAAGCAGTGGAAAAGGCAAGCTTGGTGATCAACCGATGATTGTGGCACATGCGGAAAATTGTGGACGAACGCCCGCGCAGCAAGGGGCTCTCGTGAGAGTTGTGATGCTCAGCTCAGACCTGCTTGCGACTTGGATGCCTAGTAGTTAGTAGTGACAGCAGCTACGAGAAACACCTTGGCTGCCTAGCGCAGCAGGGCCTCCGAGGACATCGGGCCAAGGTCCTGCTGCAGCAAAGCCTGCGACCATGGCCGAGCATGACTCGTCAAGTCCAAGGTACAAAAGACCAGGCGGAGGCACCTTGCAAATCCAGCCCTCTACTTCAGGAGCGCAGAAGGCACGGAAGGCAAGTCGCTCTTCAGCCCCCTGCTGGAATGAATGGAGGGCCGCTGCCTGCACGGCGAGCGCGGTGTTCGTCGCCCCACCCGTAGCTGCATATTCCAGCACAAGGCCGGCCTGGACGGAAAGTGCTGCTTTTCGTAAACTATCTTGTAAGCGTTTCGTCTCCCGCTTTCGACTGCCAGACAAGGATCCACCGTGGATGGACATTTGTCCAAACTGCTACGGAGAGCTCAAGCCAGAAAGGTTCATTGTTTCTCCACTTATGAACTCTGAAAAGTTGAATTTGTAGCAGACTTTTCAGAGCCGTCTTATCCCCAGAAGCCATCGAGATCCGACTCTGCTGTGTCTGCGAAGCGAAGGTTGATGCCCCATGACATGAACATGCCGAAAGGACTTGGCCATAAGGGCCACGACATCTCCATAACTATAGGCACGAATAGATTAAACGTAGGTTCTCAGGACAGTCGCAATTAGTGATTGCTTTCCACAGCCTCCGAACCGACCAAGACACTCCAATTGAACTCGAAGCCGCAGGCTGAATAGAAAGCCCGATGATTCGATCTGCAAATTTCGAAGTGGCACGCTACACAAAGACCAACAGTCCTAATTGCCCCGCATTCCTCCTGGCCTCGCTGGTCAGGCGACTTATCTCTGTGAGCATGGACTGCATGTGACCTCCGCATGTTTGCTTTGTGGGGGCCATAGCTCTTCATGCTTTTGAACCCTTTTTCAATAAGAGCTTGAGCGGATCCGAAGCATGGCATTTGCGTCGGCAGACCCATTCATCACCACCATGACCCCCATCACGACCATCAGCACCAATGCGAGCTATCAATTCAGCGATGACAGTAACACCAAGGAGGCGGCCCTCCACTTGCAAGACCTGGGCAGTCCAGATCAAGCTTGCTGAGACGGGAAACTAAATTAACCAACATGATTCAGAAAGTATCCTCTACGTCTCGACGTTGGTTGTTGGTCATACCCATACCGCAATTAGTACCTAAAAGGGTCCTGCGGCCGAAAGGCTAGGCCCTGCCGACGAACGTCTGACACTACCCGCCACCCCCTCAATAGTCGCTCGCGATTACAATAGAGATTTGCACCGCAACGCTCAGGCGTCCTGCTAGGGTCGTGGCCGCGTTCGGTCGCAGCTTGTACCTGGGGACCGACTTTAACCCCAGCAGTCTCTCCTCTGCATGGTACGAATTGTCAGCCTCTTCGTGCAAATCTTACAGCAATATCCTGAATCCTCTTGATACTTTGTACCTTGCTGAACTTTTGCCTCGCTCCCTGCGCGGCCCATTTCAATTCCATTCTGAATGCCTCGCTGCAAACGGATTCCACTTCCACTCCCGGCACATCGGCAATTGTGCCCTATTTTATACAGATTTTCTGGAAACTATCACCAATTCGTGCACTATGTTGCCGAGGTGCTCCTCCAAAAATGCCTTGGGCACCTGCCACAGGCAGCTGACTCAGTCCCATGCAAACCAAACCTAAACCTGCCTGCATCGTCGCGCCGAACCGGGCTGAAAATTGAGTACGGGACAGATGTACCGTCTACACTGGACGCCTCTCAACACCAAGCCTGGCATAAACCCGAAGCTCCACAGGCCGAAAACCACAACCAATCCGAAACCCCTGCACCTTGAACCCGAATCTTACAGCACAGCCAAACTGGGATTCTTTTACGAGTGGACCATTAACGATACAGTTTCTGCTCCTACTGTTGGTGTTGCCTGTGCAGTTGGCGCCTTTGCCGTCGTTGTCGTGTTTGTTCCCGTTCTTGTTACCACAGCTGTTGTGCTCATGGTTTGCCAATTGCCAGCAATCGCACTTGTGATCCAGTACGCCCGCTGCCTCGGCCCGCACCTCCAGAAGGGGTCCTCCCATGCACCTTGGGGTTGTCGTGCTCTTCGGCTCTTCCGGATCTGAAGGTTGAGTGCAGTAGCAGCAGTCTTGTCTGATGTGTTCGGGACTGTCTTTCGGCCTCTTCGTTCGCGTGATCCAGACTGAAACTTTGCGGCATGATGGAGCGATGTACTTCATCTGCCGCTGTACACATTGAGTAAGTTGGGCTTGCGCTGAATTGGAAGCTGCACGCCGCATCTGTGCTATCTTCAGCCTCCGGAATGCCAAAGATCCCTCGCCCCGCAGAACATTCAAGCCTTGCCAGAATTTGAGGCACCCTTCTTGCACCTGGCCAGCGCCTCGCACCCTGTTGCATCCCTTCAGATAAGCCGGGCACAGAAGTCTCTGGCATTGCGGGACCCGGTTGCCAGGCCTTTGCAGGTGAGTCGCTCGGATTAGGAGGCTTCCAGGCAATCAGCAAGCTCCACGACCACCATAACGACGGCGGAAACCACCACCATCATCATCATTATCCTGCTCATCCCTATCCTCGTCCTCATCCTCACCTTCCTCATCATCATCATCACCATAAAAATCATCATCATTGCCATCACCATCACCATCACCAGCAGCAGCAGCAGCAGCACCACCACCACCACCACCGTCTCCACAAGGGACGCATCATGATCAGCATCATCGTCATCACCATCATTAGGATCACCAGCCGAAGTTTGTCTTGCAGTGCTATCATCATCGTCATCACCGCCATCATTACTGCAGCGTTGCAGAAGTGCATACGCAAGTTAGAAGCAGGGAGGCCGATGTTCCATAGCCGTTCAGGCCAAAGCTTTGCAAGTTCTCCCTCCCAGCCCAAGCCCTGAGGGGATCCATCACTGGCACCTCATGCTCGTTCATCCCTTCGAACAATAGGGTGGCTGTGCAGTTCAGAAGTGCCGGCTTGCAGTTCCCTCCACTTCGCTTGCTACTAGTAACAGCACTATCACCAGAACTACGACCACTTTCATCGCCATCATGACCTCCAATGCCATCCGAATCATGGCCATCGCATAAAATGTGCGGTTGTGTGCTCGAAGCTTCTGCTTCCGTTGTTGCATGGTGTCCATCTGCCAGACTAGTGGAATCTGAGGCTGGCAAGGCAGCGTCCTTAGTTTTGACAGCAGGCTGGCAACAAGCTTTGAAGGCCCTGACACCCCAACTGCTCCGCGTTTCTCCCTCGACTTTCCAGTCGTCACTTCACCGCCTGCTTGCACGGCCGAAAGCCTGGGTCCCTACTCAACCTCAGCATGCGACGCATCCGTGGTGCCAGTGGCACTCGGCGTCTCTGCCATGGCGAATTGTGGAAATACATTCGGCAAGGACTGTGGATAAGGGCTTTGGAGCTGCATGGTTTATCGCATACGATGCGCGACATCATTGTGTTAGTTGAAACTAGTTGATACGACGCTGAGACTTGTGAGCGAGGGGAAGCTAGCTGTCCTGAAGCCTTGCTCGATGTGAACTGTCATGTTGCGCAATGGTAGCACATACATACGTACATACATACAGGCATACAGCCAAACAAACATGACATACACACATGTTCTTTATCAAGCATACTTGCCAGCTCTACCCTGGAGCACGAGTGGTTCAGCATGTGGCGGCATTGTTAGTCCAGTCCACAGTTGGGAAAAAGTGCAGAGTATGAAGGGCTTCTGGTAGACCCAACCAGCGGATCCCGACCGCGAGAACACCCCAACGTCCTGTAATGCGGAGGATGATGTGTACAAGTGGTCAGCTCAGTTCAAAAGTACTCGCTGCACCTACCATGAAGCTTCGCATGGCTGATCCAAAACATGCAAAATGCACAAGCAGGCTGCTGTACCCATATGTTCGTCAACATGTTTTAAATTCAGAGACTTTCTAGTGCTTATGACTGCGCTGAATGTGGTATATTTGTTATATGTAGATCTTTTCACTACGTATTCTCCTCAAGTCTCAACAAGCCCCGATTGGCAGATGTGAATGTCGCATGGAATGTCAGGCCGAGCGAGCCCAGGTGCCCCAACCTCAATTTACCGATTCTCCTCGGCACACAGAAGCCTTCTAGCCTTCATCGACGCCCATGCCCACCACTTGCGGACCCACGGGACAGCTATTTTGAAACCCTTTGACATGCCCGGCAAAAGACTCCAAGGCATCGCAGCAGGCTGGGCACAGTCTGGCGGTGCTACTATCAAGACAACTGGCACAAAAAAGTTGAAGCACTGAGGCCAAATACTCATCTTCCCTGTGTTTCGAACATCGCTATGGTATGACTGCTGTGAGTGTGAAGTCGGTGCCTGCACGTCCTCTTCCGAACAGTTCCACATATGACGCTAACAATGAAAGAAATAATGGCACCCGACAACAAAATAACAATACCAGTAGCAATAGCCGCACTAAGTATGAACAATATAACAACAATACACGTACGAGTTTGAAAAAATCTACTAATAGCTAGCAATAGCTATAACAACCATAATAACACTCATCAGCCATCATCATCATCAACATCATAAGGATCATCATCACCCTCACTACCATCATCTCGATCTTCATCATAAGAATCATCATCATAGTCATGATATCAGTGGTAAGGAGCATCATCGTCGTAGTGCTGATTTCGTAGTGAGAGGTCTGATCTACAAGGCCCAGCCGTCCTAGAAGCCTTTTGGTGAGATGCTCTCTGCCTGTAGTTGCAGGAAGCAAGAGGTTTGCGGCTTTTCGGGTTCAGTTTGGGAGCCCGCGGAGTTGCGTGTACCGGAAAGCTGGTGAGGGAGCAGCTCTGCTCGAGATGTGCCTCATTTCTTCGGATGCTTGAAGATCATGAAGTAGATGATGACGATGACGGTGACAAGGAGGATTAGCACCATGCACCATAACGCGATTTTCTTGGCCTGGGCTTGGCAGTTACATGTCACCAAACTCACCCAGCTCTATTGGTTCTACATGCCTGTGTGCAGCTGCCGTCTTTCAATCCGAACATCTACACTCTGGCCGTCTGTGAGTTGCCTGAGCATGCCACTAAAGGGTCTTGCGCTGCATTGTGCATTTTTTTTGAGGACCGGGTCGAGGCTTCGAAAGCTTCGCAAAATTCAACGTTCTAAGGGAAATGGTGCTGGATCATCCCGAATTGTCCGGAATCCCCTCCTGTCCCCTGAAAGGTCAAGCAGCCATGGCCCTCCGGTACATCTGAACCAGCACTCTCCGTGCCCCAGAGATATTGTCGTCAGTGGCCTGAGCTCGTGCAGGCCAGGGGTTCCATGCAAACTACACCAGGATGGGTGTTGCCAAAACGGCCAGCCAATAGACCGGGCTGCCCGGGCTTGGACGATCAAACCAAATCCGTGTAATGAAACGAAGTCTGCAGAGGCAAACAACTGCTCAACAAATGTCAGATCACCTGCACGTGAGCGTTGATCCTCTCGATGCCCTCACGCTGTCTGGCCAGTTCACCTCAGATCAATCTACGAGCCCTTGCCACACCACTTTCTCATTACTTATATGGTTCGTGATGCAATGTTCCCATCTAGAAAATCAACAGCTGCTGGTCTGGTCGAACTCAAGAAGAGAGCTTCAGTGTCGCGGTACGATGCGAGGACGACGACGACGACTACTACTACTCCTACTACCACTACTACTACCACTACCACTACCACTACCACGACCACGACCACGACTACGACTACGAGTACTACTACTACTACTACTACTACTACTACTCCTACAACCACTACCACCACCACTACCACAACTACGACTACGACTACGACGACGACGACGACGACTACTACTACTACTACTACAACAACAACAACTACTACTACTACTTCTACTACTACTACTACTACTACTACTACTACTACAACCACTACCACTACCACTACGAATACCACGACGACGACAACAACAACTACTACTACTACTCCTGCTGCTGCTGCTACTACCAATGCCAGCACACCGACTTCGAAGCCATTACCTAGGAAAGCAGTGGTGGGCTGCCGGGGCGCCGAGAACCTGGAAGCCAGTCTCCTCAGTTTCCTGGGTTGCGGGTTTTGGTTTGGGCTTAGGTTAGGTTTGGACCCTCACACTCACACAAGGATGGAACGCCTCCGTATAGGCTAGGTTTGTTTGCCTCCTACTTAGTAAGGACGAGCCCGGATTGCAGGGTGGTATGTCTGCTTTGAAATACAAGACAAACCTCATGTTAAGGTTCACCAATTTGCCAGGAGTATCTGTCACAGACAATCTCGGACATCAAAGGATCTCAGTCACCTGAAAGTTCTCACCAAGTTCGTCATTAAGCTCACACCATCAAGCACGTCAGACAGAGGGTTGCGCAGTTGACAACCTACAGTAAACCGATACTCCAGCGCCACAGCAGTGGATCTGAAATATAGGTCAGGCGAATGCTCAACCACTGTCGTCATGAAGTCATCTGCTGTCCACAACCTTCCAAGACTAGTTTTTTTTTCCCATCCGCTTCGCTGACAATTCGTAGGGTTCAGGGTTAGTGTTTGCGCAACTTTTGTCACACTTCAGAGAACGGTTTCCGCGTTTTTGGGTTTTCGAGTTTGGGTAACTTAAGGCTTGTGAGTTCCGATTCCCTGAACAGCCAAGCCAGGACGTGTACTTCTGGGAGTTTTACAGCGGCCTTGGAGCTTCGGGTCTTTTTGACAGTTTGGGCGAGAAGGTGGAGTAACGAGACGGCTCCGGAGAGCAACCGGTACAAACAGCGAGTGACTCGCAGCTACCCTGATAGCCGTCAATGATTTTCATCTTCGAAATCGTCGCCTGCAGTGATCCCAGCCTGGGTCTCCTGTACCTCACCCCAGCACAAGCAATATAGCCGGTGGCCTTATTCGAGAGCTCAGACTAAGTGAAACCTACAGCGAGGCCGATCAAGCAACCACCCATCGCTAAGGAGTCGTTTGTGTTTCCATCATGGCAAAGCATCGGCTTTACACTGCCCGCGAGTGGCAAGCCGCTGTCGGGAACATAGGGCACATCGCTTCAGCAAGCGATGCGTACTTACACAATTATTGGCTGCCTTCCCAATAAGGGTTTAGCCCTCTTTTCATCCCTTTTCTTGGGGGCTTTAGCCGCTTGGAGATGTCAGGTGCCCGCTGCCAGCATCAGTGAGAGTTGCGTTGCGTCCCACATAGACTTTAAACCCACAAACCTGGCTAGAGTTCCAGAGCGAAGCACTACCCTAAATCCACGCGAGACAGCCGCCAATTATTTCAGCAGAGCCCATTCTGGGCAGAATTTCAAACGAATTCGGTATGTGTTTGCGCTGAGGACTCGATCGCTCTCTTCTTCTGAAGCTGTTCTGGGTGCAGGTAGACATTCAATGAAGACGCAAAGCACCTGTCTAGTAAGCGACTCCTCGTTGTGTCCGCACGGTTAGATACTTGCGTATGATGATAACGATGGTGATGAATCTTATTCTTGCTCTCCTTCTTCTTGTTGCTACGATAGCATTATGACTTTCATGGTACTGGTAATGATTATGATGATGATGACTATGATAATGGAAAAACTGAACATCTTCAGTTCTGAGACTATAATATACTATCATATACTATAATGTACTATAATGTACTAGAATATACTATAATGTACTAGAATATACTATAATGTACTATAATATACTATAATGTACTATAATATACTATAATGTACTATAGTATACTATAATATACTATCATAGACTATAATTCCCGCTGTCGCTACCGGGCGGCGAGGGCTGCACGCGTGGCGCCGTTGATCCGGGCCCGGGCCTCCTCGAGCTTCTGCTCACCTGGGACCAAGGACGCATTATAGTCTAATTATATTCCTTTATAGTATATTATAGTCTATTATAGTACATTATAGCATATTATAGTCTATAGTCAGTTATAGTATATTCTAGTACATTATAGTATATTATAGTATATTGGCTTCTGTGTCATTTGACACTCACACTCGGACAAAGCCCGGCCAGGTCTGCAGGGATACTGTCAGTGGAAACTCATGAACAGACACGTCTAATCGGTTTCATTCGACGTGTTGCCGTCAAGGAGGATGTGCAAGACGACCAGGAGCAAGTGAACATTAGTGGGTCCTGGTGTTTATACAGGCTCCACAGGTGTATAGTCTAAGGGCCTTGCGCGGGTTTCGGTCGGAAAACATCAATCTGCATTGGAATCGAAATCTTCGTAATAATTATTTGTATTGAGTGCCAGTATTGGTGAGCAGGCCTCGTGCACTGAAGCCGTCCGAAACTTCAAAGATTTATCCAAGAGGCTAGTCAGTAGCGCTGCATCCC